AACTATTTCAATGCAAAACAAACGATTCATATACTGCTTTGTGCAATTTTGATCCTCAAAATGAAGCCATTTGTATGATAATTTTGTATGTTTGGTGATATGATGCAAAGTAGAAACAACAAATAAATGTTTGTAGAAATTTATTTGTGATAAAGTATGTATAAATATAAAACATACATATATGTTCACTTCTGTACAACAGACCTACGAGTACTGTGATTGCTAGACATATTTCAACTGAAACTGATTGTGTGGAAACAGTACATTCTCTGATGAATGCGGCGATGAAGGACAGGTCTAATTTTGCTCCCTGTTAAAAGCGTGTAGACAGGATTCCCTTCCTGCCAGGGAGGTCTCCGATTACAGTCATTCACTTCAACCTCAGCATCCATCATTCAACCCAGTACATTTAACACCTAAGGTCACAGCTCAGGTTCCTCCACTGAACATAATCATCATTTAGTGGAGTGAAGGGAAAATGCATACATGTTAATACTAAATGAGACAGAAGCAATACAGTGAAATGTTGCATCCACCTGTGATATCTTACATTTATCAAAACATTACAATTTTAAAATGTAATCGCCATTATCTGCAGGCTACATACTAGCCTTGGTAACATTTTTAGAAGTTTTCAAGAGTAAAATATTGCCACCATGTGGCTACAATGTGAACACCACCTGGTAAATCCACTGGTGATCTTACAGTGGACCCGTCAGAACCATGGTAAGAGGGGAAAAAGTACATTTATCTTTAGTTGCTTACATGATATCATTCTTGTTCTTTTGGATCTAATGTAGTGAGGACCTCCAATAACAGATGTATACCAACAATACAATATCTCTTGTTTCCACTATCATTTAAAACTGGATACCTGATGCAAAGACCCATGTGTAATGGGTTCTGCAAACTAAAATAAAACCGTGAGAAAAGTTATCATGACTAACAAACAGAAAACAAAACACTTCATCCAGCCGGTCAGACAATGAAGATGACACACAAACAAATACAAAATCACTTCATCAGCACACATGGTTGTATAACACGCATCTCAAAGGAGTCTCCTGGAGTAAAAGCTGCTAAAATAAGAGAAGAGTGGAAGTGATACAGAAAGGGCGCTGGGTGATGTAAGGCACAAGCGTGGTGCAAAGGCTGTCCAGGTCAGAGACACAGCTGACGGGTGGAAGGAGGAAGGTCACTGGTGGTGGTGTGTGCGGTCGTCCGGTCGTTTGATATGAATCCTACGAACTCGCTCGATTCGATCTCGCTCATCGTCCTCATCCAGATGATGAGATCGCCCTGCAGCGCCCCCTGTGGCCTCCAGCAGGGCATTGTCTGGACCCCTCCCATCATGGGACTCATACAGGAGGATGTTGAGGGTCTCCTCATAGATTCGTGCTTCAGGGAACTCCACCTGAAGGAGAGTGGTACACCAGAGATTAGTGAGATAACAGACTGTAGTTGTATGCATGCAAAAGCGCAGCAAACTCTAAGGAGGGCATACAACATGCATACACAGTACATAGTATCTATATATTTATTTTTACTTTTACCTTTGTCTGCTTTTTTTCTGTGGCATAAACAATGGAGGTACAGCACACTTCAGCGATCTTACGCCCCTGACCATAAAAGGACCAACAACAGATCTCATCCCCGATCACATCTTTGATGAAGAGCACCCGGCCGTTGAACCGCAGAGACAGCTTGTCAAACAGCTCAATGTTTTTCAGCATGTTGTCATCAGAATTGCTGGAGGAAAAGAAAGGAAATACAATAGGGTTAATTATTTAGACAACTTTTAGGAATTCGGTAAATGACGTTCTTTCTTTAACATGTTAGCTCCAGACATCAGTGAAGGAGGACTCACCTGGTATATGAATATTTGTTGTTGCTTCGGTTATACAGCAGTTTGACAGTAGGCTGCGGAAACAAAGGTTTTTTTGTTTGTTTTTTTAAATAAGCGGAAAAGATTCCTTCTATGTTTTCAGTTGGAAATCAGGCACATTATTTAGAAAACAGAACGTACCTTATTCGAGGTTGCAATAAGCTTCTGCTCCTCCTTAGATGATGTCATTAGAGGCACTTTACAAAGGGGTTCATAACTTTCTTTGTTCTGTAGGAAAAAAAGAATAACATTTTATTTTTCCATTAAAAAAAGATCCACCTCAAAGCTGGCACACAGTATATTATAAATTGAAGGATGCCATCTGGTGGAACCGAGTAGCAAAGAGCAAGCAGGACATGAAACCCCCCCAGGCAATATCATGATTTTTAAGCAGATACGTTTCTAATTGTTTCATAAAAACGTACTATCTTTCAGTTAGTGAGCTAAGGAATTTCAGAAATATACAAACAAATGTATGACTTGTTAATGGTTCTGTGGAGCTCATTTCATAACAGTTGTGAAGATATCACAATGGACACAATATGCGTTTATCATTAGGTACCTGCAAGGCCGCTGTGCATTCATCAGCCAGGCCCTGTACGAGGTAATACTTGGCCTCAGCGAGCAGCTCCTCGGTCTCCCGCCGGCTGTCTGGGAGAGGCACGGCCCCGTCTCTAAGGTAGTTAAGGATTGTTCCAAAATGTTTCCCGCAGCGATCAATCAAGATCCAACCTGTGGATATGAAACAATTAAACATAAGTTATTAATAGATCAAGGCCAGAAGAGGGATAACATAAGCCATGCTAATATGATTTTCACCAAAAGCTCACCTTCGCTGTCTGTGAGGACCTCCATCCTGCCACTGAACATGGCTTTGAGCATGGTGTCCTGTTTGGTTAGTGTCTGCATTGTAGTGTAGTACAGTGCACCACCCACATTTAGCTTCACATATTTCGAGCTCGGGCTGGAGCCTTTGAAGGATGTAGTCCGGTTTGAAGCTGCCGGCACTGCCGTGCTCACCGCACTCTCTCCTGACATCTCTTCCTGGGACAGAACAATGTCAAACACAGAGTGACACCTGGATCTAGTGTGTCGCTGGATTAGCTTGTTAACTGAACAGAGTGGAAACAAATGATTAGTACAAAGGTCTATGTTAATGTTAGGTAGCTATTTTTTAAGGGAAGGGCTGACATGTTTTGTTTTTACTGAATACACCGATGAACTAGTCCGTCTCCTAATATTTGGCGACTTTTAAACCATTAAAAGGAAAAGCCATTTGTCGTTACTAAAGATGTGATTTGACTAAATCCTAAACACAAGTATAGGGATACATTTTAAAATAGGCACAAGCGTTTATGGCCGCAGGACAGTGTTATTATATTGACTCAAAATAAATGTGTCAATCTTGATTGTTATGAAGGAACATTTTGCACCTCATTTATACATCTTTAAATGTTTCAAGTTTTTTTGAGGCCCTGGGGAATAAGCCATATCACGTTTTTGTCACGGAGTCAGATCAATTCATTGATGGTATTGTTATGAGATTTGTTGACAACCTGAAAAAGTATATATTATACATCACCATTTCAGTCTTTGAATCTGCAAAATGACTAGAATAAATGCGGTGACCCAAGTATTTTATTTGAGACTCTGTACTTCGGACAAAGCTTTGAAAGTTAAGAACTTTAACACTTTTACAATACACAATAAATAAATATATAAAATAATTTTGAGGTACTTGTACTTTACTAGAGTATTTCAATTTGTTGCTACTTTGTATTTCTACCCCACTACAATTTAGAGGTTAATTGTGTACTTTTACTCCACTATATTTATTTAATGACTTTGCAGATATGGAGGATGACTAATGTGAAATATAATCAACATTTAAAAAGACTAAAGTAAATCCACAAGCTACCCTGCAGCATAACAAGTCATTAAAACTAGCTGCACCTTTACCAGCTTTGAAAAACACATTAATGCATCAATAATTGTAAAACATATAAAATATATTATCCTGAATTTGGGCGAATATGCATAATGAGTACTTTTACTTTTAGTACTTCATGTTTATTTTAATACTTATACTTTAGTACTTTTACTTGAGTAACCCTTTGCATGCAGGACTTTGTGTATTCCTACATTCAGGTACTTCTTCCACCTCTGACTTCCGAAGATAATTCCCTTTTCTTTAGTATTCAACGTTTTGTTCGGACTGTCATGATAAACTGGAATAGGGCAATGTAAATTAAAAGACATCGGAACAGACTTTTACTATGCGCCTGCCTGCTATCCTTTTACACAACGCAAGAAAAAGCGTTATTACATGTGTACGACTATTTACGACATAGTCTCTCGTTGTAGGATCAAACACTGAACCTTTAATCATCCTGTAATCCAGTAAGTAGTAATTTGATTTGAGCCAGCACCGCTTTTGAGCTAGCTAGCTAGTTAGCATCAACTAAAGTTATTGATATGGCATACCATATCCATATGGCTACGGAGACAATTGTAAACAACTGTATCTACACAACGGTATGGGTCTGTTTGTAATGTTCTTTAGATAAAACAGAAGTATATTTACCATAGAAGCCGCAACAGACTTTATAACTGTAGCTTGCTAACGTCAGTCAGCTAACACCCACTTCCTTCCGGTCTGCCGCTGCGCAGTTATAAATGTGACGTCATCTGCTCTGTTTAAAGGGACCGTATTTGTCAAACGGCTCAGTGTTACCGGAGTAACACTGAGCCGGGATAAAATGTGCCATTAGTACACATTCAGCTTGTCTCTAGACACTACTTTCCTCCCTTATACTTTGTATTCACACACCGAAGAGTATAACTTTAATAACATTAGGCTTAGCCTCCACATTTCCGCTAACGAGAGTGTAACAGTGATAACAGTCCCCCCGCCACCCACCCAACGCTCTGGACAAACGCTTCATTGCTGATTTTGTGGTTGTTTATTTTTATTTTGACTTTATTGTTGTAATAAAATTGACAACACATAATGTTTGCCATCCCTGAAATATTTTATTGAAAAATACTTTTTATATAACGATTCATACACATAGACAAACACTACCCGGACTAACTTTAGTGCGACACAGGGGATTAATGGCTGCAGTCAACGTACAGATCTCCTCTCATTGTTTACATTTCAAAACGGTATGTCCCCTGTGTTTTTCAGGCTGTCATTGATACAGGATCAACTCTAACCCCGCAACGATGACAAATAATACTGAATGATCGTGAAAAGGTTATCCGTGAGACAGTAACACGTCGGCTATAAGCGAACTAGCCCTGTGTGCTAACTATCCCAGCTCCATCTTTCCCGTGTTTCACTTTGCTCCAGAGATGGGAAGTTAGTCTTCATCTTTATTTTTGGCTTACCTGCGCTCGGATCCCAGGTACAACCAAATGACTGAGGAGGTATAGCGACAGGGGAGCCTAAAGGTCGGAGAACATCTTCAACTGAAGAACATCGCAGGGTTAGTTCAATCAAAACACTATGAGGATCTGCTGGTGTTGTGGGGCTGCTGTATTATCACGATGTTCATGAAGCGCATACATGTGCTCTGATACCACTGTCAACATATAAGCAATGCAAGCCTACGGATGATCAGTGAATTGTTAATTCTTCTTCTCCAGAGTGCACAATGTTTAGTTTAACTCAAAGCTCCAAGTCTGAGTTCCTGGACAAAGCCAGGCAGGCCAGGGAGGAAAGAAGGGGACACAAGGACAAGGAGAAATCAGCAATCCTCATGCAAGCCCTGGTCCGGAGATTCCTCTGTCGCTGCAGACTCCAGAAGCAAATACGGTACACTCCGACCTTATTGATTCAAGATGACATAACTATTTATCAATTCAATTCAATTCAATTCAATTCAAAACCTTTATTTATCCAGGTAAAATCCCATTGAGATCACTGATCTCTTTTTCAAGGGAGACCTGCAGCAGTAGGTTCCACATGAAAACATAAAAACATAAACAACAGAACAACAAAAGGACATCATACAGCAAAATGTACAGGGATTACAATTTACATATCTATCCACATGTACAGGTACCAACAGCATCTGATTTTGAAGCATCCAACCGAGCTTTAAAAACATGTAGTGGTACTATCTTGGTAATTTTCCATTCTTTTTGCAGACTGTTCCATGTTAGTGGAGCTGCACATCTAAAAGCTTTATCTGTGATTTAAAGGTCTTTGAATTGTGTATGCATGTAGGAACATATGGATGGTTGATATGGGCAAAATCTACTATTTCCATATAGTTTATTTTATATCTTAACAAGAATGTGTACCACAGTACGTTTTCTAGTAATTATATGAAATTACCACATCGTAAAGCCTAATGTTGTTGTATTACATACTTTTTCACATTAAATCAAGCACTAGTGCAAAAACTACATAAGTTTAAAATATTTCAGATAATATTTTTGGGAGAAGTTGGAGTTATTAAATGCTTGTTACTATCAATTAAGACCATATCACATACCATATAATGGAACCATGTGTATCATGTATGAATGTCATCACCGTTTGATGCAATTGGAACATGACAATTCATCATATTGAATTACTGCCTAGCACTGCTTGACTAAATTGTAAAATATGTATTTCTCTTGTAATCACCATCTCAATATTTCCTCTCTGTTTCTCTTCAGGCAAGAGGTCGATGACTATTTTCAAGCTTCTGAAACTGGGACATCAAAAAGAAATGCACTTTCAATTTTCAAAATCGCTCGGAAATTACTATTTGTATATCGCCCAGAGGACAAGATGGTGAGTTTATAACAATCTTTAATACACAGGAGAAACATTTGCATAATATTGCTTATTTTAAGAAATGGTTAGGCTTACCTTGGTGAACACTTTTAAGGACAAAACACAGTATTCGTGTATACGCTTGTCTTGGCTGTGTGACTCAAATGACCCTAATTCTCTAGATTCTACAGATGTTTGAGAAGGTCTGCCGTGCAATCCTTGCCAGCATGGAGGTTGAAAATGAACCCAAAGTGAGTGAAACATGTTTTATACCATCCATACATTAACAATCCTTTAAATGTGATTCTAGTCTCAGTGGCTGTTCTCTCACCTTGGCCCCTCAGGTCTGGTATGTTTCCTTGGCTCTCTCCAAAGACCTCACCATTCCCTGGCTCAAACAGATAAAAGATGTGCTGTGGATCTGCTGTCAACTACTGAAAAAATTAAAGGTAAGTCTCGACTTTACACAGTTAAATGCATTTTCATTTCATGGCTTTATTTGACATATCTCTTTCTATTTTTCACATGCAGCCTGACATACTTCAGGACAACAAAATGATAACGCTGTACCTCAGCATGCTGGTGACTTTCACAGACACTTCAACCTGGCGGATAGTCAGAGGGAAGGGTAAGTCTCAAATCATCTGATGTGGTCCTAAACATATCTGTTGTTATTGCAGGACATGTTTCCTGCAAAGATAAAACACAATTCGTTCCCACTTATTGTTTTAGGAGAAGCTCTCAGACCCGCTTTGACGAGGATTTGTGAAAATATCATGGGCCACCTCAATCAAAAGGGATTCTACTCCATACTGCAGGTTCAGCTTTACAGCTCATACTTTTTTCAAAGATTCAATGAAGAAGTTTGGACATCAATGTTATTATTTAGTCCCAGCAGTCATTTTAATAAAAATGCTCGTTGTCTGTCATCCTAACATTTCTTGTTTAGATCTTGTTGACAAATGGCTTGGCTAGAAGTAAACCATCCCTCTCCAAAGGCACCCTCACAGCTATCTTCTCTTTGTCATTAAGGTAAGCTGCGCGTTGGTACATTGATAGTTCTAACTGCTTTTCGAAAAGACGATTAAGAACAAATAGGATCATTTATTATCATTCTGCCAAACTGCAATTACACAGAAATGCAGTTTTAGTCCAAAAATATTTTTAGCAAAATAAAAACTGTGGGCTTGGTACATTCCCGTCGTACCTTTTATTTTATTTTGCACCACAAGGAATGTAAACAGCACCAAAAATTCTCCGGGCAGATAATATTTCTGGTATAACATTTGACATTCATCATCAGGGAAACACTATCCATCAACCTTGACTATGTTTGAGCACCATTGACATAAAGACAAGAAATTCTATACATGAAACAGAGCAGACTTGTTATATCCAATTCTGCTATTTTCAGTTTTCTTGTGGTTTTTGTTTTTATATTTCAGGCTGTCCTTTTAACTAAACCTATTATTTTCCAGGCCGGTCATTGCAGCTCACTTCTCCGATAACCTGCTAAGATCATTCCTCCTTCACATCATGTCAGTTCCTGCAGTCGTATCTCACCTCAGCGTGCTTACTCCAGAGGTAAACGCTTTGTCACATATTACATGTTCTTATACTACTTTGAACTGTTAAAGAGCAGGTTATAATATGGGCTCTGTCTCAACAGTGTATGGCGTCCATGCACACGCATGACCTGCTGCGGAAGTTCATTATTTTTCTGAGCCGGGAGGAACAGTGTTTGGACATCTGTGTGTGTCTGGAGGGGAGCCACACACTCTGCCTACTTGGTAAAGTATTTTTGATGAATAGTTGCTCCTAAATTATAGAACGTCCTGTGAATTGTTACTTGTATCATTGCTGACTGCATCTTCTACTATTTGATAGGCAACCTGATTCACTTGGGCTTCTTTAGTGAGAAAGTCCTGGAAGAGGAGGCCAACCATTTTGTGAAGGACCTGACGGACATGCTGTCCTACTGTCAGAGATATGTATCCCAAAAGAAGTCCAACCTCACCCACTGGCACCCTGTCCTGGGCTGGTTCTCCCAAACCGTAGACTACGGGTGAGTGAAATACTATATATTTGCTTTATTGTGTACTTTCTGCAAACAACAGATTGCATAATTGACTTTGTCTCCCTCGCCTCCTTGTTCCCCGCCTCCTGTAGTCTGAATGAGTCAATGCCGCTGGTGACTAAACAGCTTCAGTACCTGTGGGGTGTTTCTATTATTCGGACCCTCTTCAGCGATGTCCTCTCTAAAAAGCTGGAGAGTCAGGAGCCCACTCCTCCACCCCCGCAGCCTAGCACATCGCAAAACAATCTACCAGTGAAAAGTGAGTCATAAAATCAAACATATTCCTACATACTATGGTTAATCACAATCTGTTGAGTTTAGAAAAGGTTTGAAGAGCTTCTCAAATGTTCTTACATGCCTTTGTGTTGTTTGTTTGTGCTCACAGACCTCTTCAAGCGAGCATTTCAGAAGTCTGCTTCTGTTCGAAACATCCTGAAACCAGTGGGAGGAAAGCGAGTGGACTCAGCTGAAGTTCAGAAGGTGTGCAGCATCTGTGTGCTCTACCAGACCGCTCTGTCCACTCTAACGCAAATACGACTCCAGATACTCACCGGTCAGTACCAACATTTTAACACCATACAAGTGTTTTGGATATATCCTGTTGAGTTCATCATGGAGTATTTAACTGTGCATTCTCTGCAGGTCTGACACACCTTGATGAACTTTTGCCCAAGCTTTGGGCCTTCATTTGTGAGCTCGGTCCTCAGGGAGGCCTCAAACTCTTCATGGAGTGTCTGAACAACGACACCGAGGAGTCCAAGCAGCTCCTGGCTATGCTCATGCTCTTCTGTGACTGCTCCCGGCACCTGATCACGTAATTTGACTGATTATTAACTATATAATATTTTTACTATTTATAAGATGCTTAAAGGTGGGGTATGTAATTTTGGAGAAACCAGCTCGAGTGCGCTAGAATTTGAAAATACACAGCCGGAACAAATCTGCCACTTCCTTACAGAGCCCCTCCTCCAACACACACGAACGCGCACATGACCAATGAGGGCACGAGATAAGTTTGTGCACAGATGGAACGCTGACAGGCAGGTAGGCCATCCAGTTATTTTAGCCGGGCCGGCTCAGATGATTGGTCGTGCTTTTTACAGCACCACGGCTTCCACAGATGACATGTTTTTTAATGAATTTTAAGATATTCATTGCTATCGGGATGTTAAGAGCATTCCATGGAATATAACAAAAAGTGTATCTCGAGCCGGTTTCTCAAACTTACCTACCCCACCTTTAATGTAGCGAAATCATTTAATGACACCCTGTTAATGTGTCACAGAATTCTGGATGACATTGAAGTTTATGAAGAACAAACATCTTTCAAGATCGAGGAACTCCTCACCATCTCTTCATTTCTGAACACATTTGTGTACAAGATGGTATGGGATGGCATCTTAGGTGAGTGTGCAACCTTACAGATTTTTAAAAATATATTATAGTGCTTGATTGAAAAGATAATCTCTAAAAAAAAACGTTTTGTTTTGAACAGAAAATGCTAAGGGAGAGAAACTGGAGCTGTTCCACAGTGTTCATGGCTGGTTAATGGTTCTCTATGAGCGGGACTGCAGGCGANGGGCAATAATATTAATATAAGAAAAATATAAAAATATAATATTGTGATATTTTAGGAAATATCATCTTAATCAGAATCTATTACTATTGCCCAAGAAAAACCACGTGCAGTTGCTTTCTCATTTAAGTTAATTACCACTTTAAATAAATCAAAATAACTAAGCTACACGCCAGCGTGAATCGATTCTATATTAACACACTATAGTTTCTCTAATCACCGCCCTACAAACATTCAAATATACATAATAATCATAAAAAATATAAACTAAACATAAAACAAAAAATTAAACACATAGATGACTCACAAACACAATAACTATACAAAAAGAAAAAAAAATACAATGACTTTTTAGCTTACAGCGTACATTGGTCTTTCGTATTGGCTAAAGATATTAGGAACTGAACTCGAATGGTCTTATGAAACTGAAAAGTAATCATTCGCTAGAGGTTTTTAAAGGTTGAGTCTATACTGCATATTATATTGATCGTTATATACGTTCATCGAGGGGATAATTCAGTATGCCTATAGAAATAATCACCACTTGTTCTCGACCATTAAGAGGAGTAGTTCAATACCTGGGAGCAAAGGAAAACAGAAGAATATTGTAACATTTTAGAGCAGGGGTCGGCAACCTATTTTCATATGAAGTGCCATTTAACAAAAAAATGTTTTATACGCGGTGCCCAACCATTCGAGAATCTATCAACACGGGGGGGGGGTGGAGGAGCTTGACGCTCTCAACTATCAAGCCCTCCGCTGCGGGGCCAAGCAGTGTGCTGGCCACCTGTCAGGGCAACTTTCTACATGATGCCGAAATTTTAACAAACCACATTTACCAACACATTGCTTTGAACACGCATACGATCAGACTAACGGGCGATCGTCCGCCGCTTCTTGATTTTTCCACAGCACACACACTCTGTATATGATCCACGTGTTCATGCACCCCAGTGACGATGAGGTCGACTGGTCCCTTTAAGAGAGACGAGAGAGGAGAGAGAGAGACGAGGGGGTCTGTGGCTTGGTGCATGTGTGTCTCTGTGGCATGGTAGAGCGACAGCGTGCAGGGAACGTCGTATCGGTTGTCGTGAAGTGAAACGCATAGGCAGCCAGAACAAAACAGAGGTCCTGTGATGTATTTTGTCAACCACACGAAGAACAGCTAAATAAACTTGCAACGGCCCTCCACCAAGAAGAGCTCGCTCGTCTCACAAACAAAAAAACAATATTAAAAGGACATAAGTATGGTTAATTAATAAAAACCAAATAAAAGCTATATAGTTGCCACATAACACAGCAACATAATACATAAGAACACATACGAAGGAAACAAAGAAAAAAAACAAAAGAGAAGGTTCAACACACAGTTTGAAACAAAAAACAAAAACACACAACACATAACACACAGAAAACACACAACCCTTTATAGCATAGTTTCATTGTCGCAGTGAGAGATGAGCAGATCGCCAGCTCGGGCTTTGAACCTAAGACACAAGCCGCCACCGCAAACACTGCCGCATTTGTAGCCCTCCTTATGGGTAACTCTCGCAATTAGTGACACGCTCTTTCCTCCCGTGTGAAACGATCAGCACTGCACCACAGAGGCAAAGCGGCCAGCAAAAGGTCACCCTCGGAGTTCAAAGAGGACGCCGGGGCTGCTCACTCGCGCGGCTTTCTGCAGGTAACCGGAAAAAAAAAACGAAAGCGCTCTGGCGGCGGTCTCCCGTTCAGGATCCGAAAATCACGACAATTAAACATTTTTGCACACTTATTCCACTTATTCCTAGTGGTGGCCACTGGTTAAGGCAGTGGTTCCAAAGGCGCGGGGGGGGGTCGACGCGCCATGCCCGGGGCGGCCCCCCAGACGGGGGGCGCAGAGAGCATGACAAGGGGGGGCGGAGAGAGACCAGGAGGAAAAATTGTTTTATAAATAAAACATAAAAAAAAAAAAATGATTTTTAAAATTATTGATTCGCACAAAAAATACTTTATACAGTCACTATTACCGCCCTCTGGGTTGCGTGTTCACGTGCAATCAAAGTTTGCTCGTGTTGTGTGTGTGGAACGAGCCATTTTGTGTGGGCGAGTGAGAGCGCACCCGGTACACGGAGGACGTTGTTTGTTAGCCTTCTGGTGCAGCGGCTACGCCTATACGGATATAAGGAGTTTTTTTGCAACAACAAAGTGGAGGAAGAAAGTCCTCCCTGTAAGAAATGAGAAGACTCAGTGAGCCTAAAAGGAACTCTCAGTGTTATCTCAGTGGGTCTCAACGTTTTGGTCCCATTAATGTATAACAATTATTTCCGAGGACCCACGTTTATATTGCATCATTACGTAGCCATTATAAACCAATCAAGAAGATAAATTAAACAGGTATTCGAATATACTAATATGACAAATTAAAAAAAGAATAACGTTAAAAGGGAGGATTTGTAAAAATATCCATAAAGAAAAAGTAAATCTGTTTACAGTTCTGTTTCAAATGGGTGTTGAGAGATGTATCCATAGATCTCTTCATGTTGCTCTCAAAGTGCACCAGATTGATGCTTTTAACTTCAATATTTAAAAATCTTCCCAGGGGAGCTTGCCCCCTGACCCCCCTATGTGAGGTCCACACACCACCTATAAAAATAACACTTTACCCCTGCTTACACCTATATGCCGTGAGCTGATTATCGAGCCTTCATTGTAACAGTCGCGGGTACACTGTGTGTGTGTGTGTGGGGATTGTTGCAGTAGAACATTCCACTGTAGCGACCAGTACATTAATGGGAAACCCTAAATGTTTGAGCACCCTCTATGAAACGTCAAGCTACCCCACAGCACCCCCAAAATAGAATCTCTGGCGCCGCCACTGAGCCTGACTATTTGTGTTGGGGGGGCCCGACTTTTTTTTTTCTCCAAAGGGGGGGCCTGACAGAAAAAGTTTGAGAACCACTGGGTTAAGGTGCCGCGTGCCAATGCTGGCACGCGTGCCAGGGGTTGCCGACCCCTGATTTAGAGGATATTGTTGTGATATTATAAGGGATATCATATCATATTAATATTATAGCAAAGATTAAAGTGATATTATAGGGTTATTCTAGCGAGGCTACAGAAATATTACAGATATTTTAAGACTGTTGTCCGGACAAAACTTTGCTCTCTGGGAACTTTTCATTATCGCTTTTTTGAGGATGTTCAACTATTAAAAAGTTAGTTTTGTCAGCCAATAATCAAGTCATAAATACCCCCCTCCAGGTTTACTTCTACAGCTTCATGATTGTGAAACTCAGATTTAATATCTGTTGACTGAGAGCTGATTTCGGAGTGATTTCACAACAGAGCTCAGTGTTTGGCTCAGACTGAGAGCTCCCTTCACTCTCTGAACCAACCAACAACAGAGCCAATCAGATAGAGGGGGATCATTCCACAGCTGATGTTTAGCACTTCTTCCCTTTCCTGACACTTTCAAGGTGTATCCAAAGCCCTAAAGATGTGCAGTGTATAGAGTGCTGCAGGAAATCCTAAACCCGGGAAATTAGTTAGCACTTTAGCACGTTCAGTTCCTAGTTTTTTGGTTAGATTCCTGATTCTGGTTAGGTTTTGGTTAGAACAAAGACTGATAATGTTTTTATGTGTATCAGTCATGTTTGTAAAATGATAGGCCTTGCAAGTTACGGATTACATGTTACGGGATTAGGTAGTCAGGATACAAAAAAAATGTTATTTGACGTAATCAGATTACCTTGGATTTTTAAGAATTACTCACAGGAATACAATGTTACTAAAAACTAAAAAAGCATATATTGTTTGTTGTAAAATTACTTATTTCCTTTCATCACGCTTTTAAAGGTGTATCCAAAGCCTTAATAAAGGTGTATCCAAAGCCTTAAAGATGTGCAGTGTATAGAGTGCTGCAGGAAGTCCTAATCCCATGAAATCAGTTAGCATTTTAGCATTTTCAGTTCCCTAGTCTCAAAGTCAACGTTTTTTTCACCCTTTTTTTCTGTTAGATTCCTGATTTTGGTAAGAAAACAGACTGACAATGAAATACGGTCTGTTGTTAACACAATCTTAAGCGATGGGAAAGAGAAAGAAATACGTCAGTAAATACACCATTGGTGAATGTCCGAAGCTTCTATGCGTCATAAAAACAGCGGTTGTTAAGAAGTGACTAAATTAGACTACTAAATTTCATCACACTGAATATTAGCCGCTTTTAGCTTTAGGGTTGTGAGGAGGAGTATTCCAAAATCCCATTGCTTTTTGTCAAAGGAGTATTATCAGTAGCAGTGTAGGATTGTATTATTGTAAGTCCGGTAGTCCTGTTGTAAAAACCAACATGTATTCAGGTCCAATACTCTCCTAATGCTGCTGTTTATATTTCGTTCATTCTCTTCAGCTTACAAAGAACGTAAGTCGGATACCGTAATGTTAATTAAAGAAATCTGTTCTTGGCTTTTCTTTTCAAGGGAAAATGAAATTCAATTAGATGTTTTTAAAAGACATTAACTGTTAAATGACTCAAATGTTCTCAAAACTACAGGACCTTCTCAGTGCCCACCTTGGGCCATCCCAGTAAAAAAGTTCTCAACAAGCCACTGCAGAAGAAGCAGATTACAGATGGGTTTAAATGAGCAGCTCATTAAACCATTAAGTAACCACACGGAGAACCATGTGGTAGAAGCATGTGGGACGGAGAGAAGGAACACTGAACATGGCTGCTGCTGAGGGGAGCTGGTACAGGCAGGAACCCTCTGTTCAATCAGGTGGAGCTTTAGTGGAATGTGGAGTTGAATGTCACACAGAACCAGGATCGTTTGCTGATAAAATTACCTGCAGGGATGATAGGTTGAGGGATATTTAGCAAGTCAATCTGCAAAATCAATCAAACATTTTACCAAAACCGCAATATGAAATAGCAGTAAACTCAATATTTGGTAAAGGCAAAATATGTCAAAATATCTTTATTGTGTAGCTGAAGAGAAGTCCTAACTACAAATTGTATTCTACAGACATATCTTAAAAAATCCCACCATGATCATGTTAAGATATTTTTCATTGATAAGGTGAATAATGTTTCAAAAATCAATCAATCAATCAATCAATGTTTATTTATATAGCCCAATATCACAAATGTTACATTTGTCTCAGTGGACTTCACAGTTTGTACAGAATATCAGTATGACAATACGACACCCTCTGTCCTTAGACCCTCACATCGTACAAGGAAAAACTTCCAGAGAAAACCCACAGTTTAAAGGGAAAAATGGGAGAAACCTCAGGGAGAGCAACAGAAGGGATCCCTCTCCCAGGACGGACAGACGTGCAATAGATGCCGTGTGTAAATTGAAAAGATAATACATTTGCAACATAGGTAGTCCAAAATGATCATTCCCATAAGTATCTTGATTGCAATATCAGTCAAAGTATTCGCAATTCGTGCAGCTCTATTGGCATGGATGTTAGGTTAAATTCCCTTCAGTGTCACCTGTGAAAGTATACTATTCGATTTTTCATGAACGTTGCCAAATTAAGATGTGTGTATGATCAGACTGCTGAAACTGGATCTGTGTATTGTTGGAATTCAGATTTTAATTCCAGTTTTGTTTAATCTGATGTGGCACTATGAATTGTAGTCAGAAATGCTTTGACATGTGAGACAGACATTACATTGTTTTTAAAGAACAATCACCATTAAAGAGGCCCTATTAGGCTATTGGGGTTTTCCCTTCCCTGTAGTGTGGTTTATAGGCTTTGTGCATTTAAATGGTCTGCAAAGGCTGCAATCCCTGTGTTCCCTCCAGAGGGAGTTTCTCTCCCACACACCCCCCCACTCAGCCTGAAACACCTCCATTGGACTCCGTCCGTAACTCTCACTTCTATTGGCTAGCGCTTTAACACAATTTGTTGGATTTGCTATCGGTCAGGACATTTCCAACACATCTCTACAGAGCTGGCCAGCTAACCAATCAGAGCAGGCTGGGCTCTCGTTTGTTTGTCCTCTTTATGTAAATCCCTGTTATTGTCTTCGTGATGCAAATGTCTCTGTCAGTAATCTAGAAGTGGAATCTTGCAGCAAATTCGTCTTTTCTCATTAGATCCTGCTTTCTCTGTGACTATATGGGTTTGTAAAAGCAGGTGAGATGAACTGAAAACTCAAAATAGTAGTTTTTTTTTGTAAAGCTTCGGACTCAGGTCAGGTTGAATCATTTCAAGTATGTATTAAAAAAGTTCCCTTTGTGCATGCTTGGTATGTTGGTAGAAGTTTTGCCACATTACTAATGGGAAGAGAGAAAGAGGAAGAGTGTGGTCTTGCCTGGTGAACTTCCTGTATGATCAGTAATGGAGGAGACAAAGAAAAAATATAGCTCTGGGTTTCAATCAGGTTCCGTGGGAGTTTGAGTGCAGAACTTTAGTTGGTTAGTGACTATGGTCTTGTTTTCCTCAACTTTCATGTTTAAAGGGGCCCTATTTATTTCATTCATAGGTTAATTATGTATGTTGTGCCTCTAATGTTCCCAGTCTTTTATGTTCAAAAAGTTCTTTATTTTTCTCATTCTGCCTTTCCTGATTTTAGCCTTTGAAGACCATTTACATGCACAAAAACCGATATAACACACTACAGGAAAGGGAAAACCCCAAAAATCATAAAAGGGCCACTTCAAGGAATATTGTACCCCAAAACCATATAGGCACTTCATATTGAAAGCAGTTCTACGGAAATCCATATGAATGTTCACAACAACAAAATAATTTTTCATTGGAAATGAATCGGCAGAGGTTGAGCAAAAATAGTTTTATTTGGATTCCATGTGCCCACGAGTGGATACAAAACACTTTAGCGGGACGTTTTTTGCTATCAATTGTTTATCCTCAAGCCTTATAGTGGTTCTGTCTGAACTATTTGTTTCATAGTTTACACTTCTTATTAGAAATGTAAGATTTAAAAATCAAAGAATCTAAGAAAACGTAGTGATTCACAATTTGACCTTATAGAGAGTGTGTGTGTGTGTGTGTGTGTGTGTGTGTGTGTGTGTGTGTGTGTGTGTGTGTGTGTGTGTGTGTGTGTGTGTGTGTGTGTGTAAGATTTAAAGTTCTTTTCTGAAAGAAAACATGACAAAGCAACGTTTTTAATGAAAATATATGTATTTACTCTCATATTGAGGAATCTTTGGTTTTATATTCTTCCCCAATGTCTACATCCTCTTCAACCCTTCGAATGGAGATTTCCACATTCAGGTTTACAGGTGTGATTGATAGTGTTGGCTGTCTGTTCAAAGCTCTGCATGTTAAATCAAGCACTCTTACATTCTTCAGATACCAGCAGCTCTTTTTAAACCATCTGCTGTTCTGCTCCAGTCCAACCTCGTAACCGTCACCTGTTCTCAGGTTACATTTGCAACTCGGGCATTTGGCTGATCCACATGTGAAATGTTACACCCAGTGCAACGGGAGCGAAAGCTGAAACTTCCACCTGGACTATTGGAAAGAGCAACCAGACCAAAGACTTAAACTATGATTCAACTGCCAAAAGTAAAAGAGTTTCTCCACTGACTTTTCATGTCATGGTTAGAGCCATTTAACTGCTGAAAATAGTTGATTAATATCTCTGTTGCTCTTTAGCCCAGTATGACCTCAACGTCTTGACATTTTGTGACTGTCCAAATCCGGGATGTATAAAGAGAACTGGATACAGCATTGGAGGCGTGGCAACGTTCATTCCTATGAAAGTTGCTCAGTGGTGAATGAAGCCAAAATGCTCTGACTCTTCAAGGGATCTTATGGCGATCTTCAGCATTCATAGGGCCAATAGAGCATAGATGAGAGCAGCGCTACATCACCTCCTGGCGATATAATGCTACGGCCCACTTTCCAGTGAAAACCATGAATCTGCATCAAGCCGAGTTATTTCCATGCCCATTCCATAAAAACTGGTCTGTAATGTTTTGCCCGTCAAACAACAGAAAATATCCAAAGTTACCGGTTTCTTTACTTTCACTTAGAAATGGACGGTAAAAGAAAAATATCTGTGGCTTCAGCGCTCAACAGAGAATAGGAACCGGCCAGTAAATATGTGTACCTTTGTGGGAAACACTTCATCACCGCTACATTATGATGCTAATGAGGTTAACGTCAATTGTCAAAGTAAACATGCGTAGTGTTACATTTCAGAGTGTTGACTAGATGCTGCATTGAGATATGTGAAACACTAAGAAGTCAAGGAAATCCCAGTTTAAGTGTTAGCTTGCTGCCTGCCAGTTGTCCACCAGCAAAGTGAAAGGATATCAATTGCCTATTGAATGTCATTTAACCATATATACGCCAATCATCGATTTCCAATAGTATTATATAATTGTGTGCCTGACTGACCATCGTAATTTGGCTCCTTGGAGATAAAACAATGCATGGTATTCTTATTTTCTTAACCTGTTAAGCCCCAAGCCTGTTTTTCAGGTCTCAGGCTCGAAAATGAAATTTCCAGAACAAATGACCATAACTACACTTCTAAAAGGGGAAAATGTATAATCTTTCTTCTCAAAGTAATGATAAACCTGTGAGTTGGATGTAGAAAAGTCAGAATCAATATAGATGTTTTTTATTTTAAAGAAAATTCAGCTTGAACATATAAAAAAAATGTAAATTATAGTGTCCTTCCAAACATTATTTTTTGCTTATAGTGAAAACCACCCTTGCATGATGGTAAGGTAGACTAAAAGCTTTAGGAATCCAAAGTACAACATATAATAAGTACCCTGTATCAAGATTGATGCAAAACAAGTGACATTTGACCTTTTTAGAGACGTTTAGATAAAGAAACTCCACCTCTGGGGTCATTTGGGTGGAAATGGGCATTTTTGCAGTTTCTCTGGAACCCATTTGTCGATTTTGATGATTGACATCTCTTTTGAACCGTTAGAGACAATACAATCAAAGGGGGATTTCCACATACACACCAACGTTACCATTGAGAAGTTAGAACTATTTTACGCTCTGAAATCTGAAAACTAGTTTTTTTGCTGATGGATTATCAGAAATCATTTCAAAGTGACACAGACACATTGGATTAACCTATGGATTAACCTTCAGCAGCGTTTTTATTGTTTTAATGCCATTGAAGACAACTTTTGATCAGACTACGACAAAGGTAAGACATGTTGCCGTGTTTGCTACCTAATGCCACGTTTTGTGATATCTGTTTTGTTTATAATGTTGCGAGTTCTGTTCATGGAGTGATGATACAGATACCTATCGATTCTGTGTAATCTCACGATGCTAATCGATATGTTGGATTTGCATTTACGATAAGTAATAAGGGTTTTATGAGTGAGTTCTGTGCTAACGGCGTTAGCATTTTTTCACTCAGGGCTAATTCAGAGGCTCAGCGTTAGTCTTGTGGGTTTTTTTGCAAAAAATTGTTCACATCATCAGTTAGCTGAGTTTCTTCCCATTACATGGATATGAAACATTCATAGTTTATTAAATATTAAGAAGCCCTCAGACGCTGTTTCCTGCAGATTATGCATTTTTAACAGGGTTTAACAGGTTAATGTGATTTGCAAAAAACGTTCAAATGTGTACCTATTGCTAGTCAAATGACAGCAAATGTTTTTACCTTTAAGGGCATTTTTCTTAAGCCCCGCCTCTAATCCGCTTTTTCCATTCTCAGCACAGCCAAATGAATGTAGGTGGGAAAATAACTGGATTTGGCTATGGGTGCATTTCACAACTTTTAGAAAACTAAGGATTTCAATAATTGCATTTCAAGTATTGGTACTGGGTAGTTGATTTACCTAAAGCAGGGGTCGGCAACCCGCGGCCCTCGAGCCGCATGCGGCCCTTTAAGCCCTCTGCTCTGGCTCCCTTGAGCTTAGACAAAAATAAGAAGGAAATAAAATAAAAGTATTCGTAGGACTATTTATATTTTGTTTCATGGTTGAAAATGTTTCGTATCTTGTATTTTGAGGTGATACTGTGACACATAAATAAAAAACAAAACGGTTTTAATTAGGTCAACTAAAANAACTCATCTCTTTCGACTCCACTTCGAGCAATAAAATTACTAACAAAGCACTTATATACTAATAAAGGACTGGCTTATCTAAAGCCAGTTGAGCAGCACTTGAAAGTGCTGCTCAACTGGCTTTAGATAAGCCAGTCCTTTATTAGTATATAAGTGCTTTGTTAGTAATTTTATTGCTCGAAGTGGAGTCGAAAGAGATGAGTTTTCAGTCTTACACACAGACCTTGTAATTTCATAATTCAAATTTGTGTAGGAAACTGTGCAATCATCAGCCCCTCTGAGTGCACCGCTCACACTGCAGAGCTCCTGCATCGCCTTATCCCCTTCTACTTGGACAATGTGAGTAATGGCCAGAAGGACAGCAGACCTTTTTTCTTTTGTTTCTCAAATATTCTAGTAAATGCTTATTGGTACTTTGATAAAATAGGTTTTGTATTTTCTTTAATTTGTTTGAGCATATTGACTTATTTGTATGATTGCACCAAGAAGTAGGACAACTTTTGGTCTGATTCCTAAAATAATTAAATAACTCATTCATCCATTTCCACTGAATCTGCAGTTTTACCATTTATTGATTCAAATGAAGGACCTACAATATAACATTTAATCTGATTTAAAAATCTTTTTTTCTCAAGGAATGCTTCCATGTGATTCTTGCAGGCACACGTGACTTTCCTGAAGTTGTGGAACTGAAATTTGACCATGTCTTCTTTACAGGTAAAACTTCAATATAAAACGCTTTTGAGAGTATTTATTTGATGATTTTTGACATTAAATGTGTATGCTGGTCAATCCCTAGGAAACAGGTCGGAAGGAACCAGAATTGCTCAGGCTGCAGCTCGCACACTCACGCCTGTCACCCTCATCTTGGGTGGAAAGAACCCGTGTTATGTAGACCAAGACTGTGACATTGCCACCACGGCACAGCGCATCGCCTGGGCACGTTTTCACAATGCAGGGCAGAGCTTGGTGGCTCCTTTCTACATCTTGTGCCACACGACAGTCACAGCACGACTGGTGCAGGCCCTGAAGTGTTGCCTCACGCAGTTCTACGGGTCTGATCCCAGAGAGTCAAGCAGTTACGGCCGCATGGTCAATCTGGATATATTCAACCGTACGAAGAACATGCTGTGGAGATCTGGCAAGGTGGCGGTCGGTGGGCAAGTGATCGAAGCAGAAAAATATATTGGTAAGAATGATCTGTGTGGAATTCTTCAAAACAAAGCATTTCTTTAATGATCTTAACTTCTCTTAATTCTTTCTGAAGCCCCGACAATTTTGACAGAAGTAACGGAATCAGATCCCATCATGCAACAGGACATTTTTGGCCCAGTTCTTCCTGTTCTGACTGTGAACAATGTCGATGAAGCAATTGCCTTCATAAATAAGCAAGAGAAACCCCTCTGCGTGTATGCATATTCGAGCAACAGCAAGGTATGATTCAAGTTAAGACACTCTATTGACTGTAATATTGTGGTGTGAGTATTCTGATCATGTGTTGGACTTTCTGATAATGCAGGTCATCAGAAGACTAATGAGTGAGACTTCTAGTGGTAGCTTTTGCTCAAACGACAGCATCCTTCAGAGTCTGATGGTGGCTCTGCCTTTCGGTGGAGTTGGTAAGTCGATGACAGCATAGTATAAATAATGGCAAACATGGAATCATATTTCCTGTTTAATCAACTCTCAATCTTTTTTTTGACAGGTGCCAGTGGAATGGGCTCTTACCATGGCCGCTACAGCTTTGATACCTTCTCTCACAGGAAATCATGCCTGCTAAGAAGCACACGGTTTGAGTGTGTAACCTATCTGCGTTATCCGCCCTATGAGGATCGCAATCTGTCTCTCATGACATGGGCCAGCACCCTGTCCCAGAAGAGCCAGGGATGGTGCCACATCCTGTGACTGTGTGGGAAGGGGATAATAACAGAGCCATGTTGGAAGAAGGCCACTCACTCCCCAAGTGCTGAACTGTTCTGACATGCAAATGTATTGTTAAAGTATTAAACATGGCTGAGAATGTGCTAGGGTAAAGCTACATCTTACAGAAAAAAGAGCAATCTACATAGTAGTTGTTCAATATCTGGCTAAACATAGTTTTAAAACCAACACAAGATACTGGCCAGTATTTAAAGGTGGTCTGCTTGAGTTACTGTACACCAACAAAATGTTTGGAAAATAAAAAAAATTGTCTGAAAGTTGAAGCCACTGAAGTTTATTACTGCTTATGTTCCCACATTATAATAATAAGAAAGTTGCATCAGGATAACAAACAATTAATCAATAAACTGTGAAATCTCTGCAACACCAACCATCCACAATAACAAAATAGATCTACGTCTATTCCTCATGTGAGAACCTGGTTATTCAGGTCTTGTGTAGATAGTCTCCACACTGCCTTCTTTCATGGCTGCATATCTGGCCGCTGTGAACAGGTAGTCGCTCAATCTGAGGGAAAAAGAAGCGATTTCTATTAGATGTGAAATACAGACATCATTTTCTCATATTCATTTTAAAGCACTGGACTGACCTGTTCAAAAACTTGGCCACATCTGGATCTGCCTCGCCTGATCGCACAATTGGAGCCACACTATAACAAGAAACAAAGATCTGTGAGAACCTTCTGTGCCAGAAAAGCAAGATATAGGGGGACATTTTGCGACAAACAGGGCAAGGAATATGCTGCAACCAACCTGCGTTCGGCTCTCCGACACACTGTCCGAGCCAAGTGCAATGCTGCGCTGCCCTTCCCTCCGGACTGTGACACAAAAAGCTCAGGTATGAGTGCAACAGGAAAACATTTACTCTCATGAGAACTCATTGTCTTACAGAGGCTCAGATGGGCTTACAGGTAAAATGAAGTTGGTCAGTGGTGGCAGTTCTTCAGTAAACGTATCAATCCAGGTCTCCAGGTCTGAAATTGGCTGAGCTGCAAATTTTGTTCTACCTTACAAAAACAGAACAGAAATAAATCAATTAAATCTTCAATCACATTAGACACATTTTAAAGTATTAGAAAAGCAAGTGCATATGTAACAGTTGTAAATACATACTTATGTGGCTTTCTCTTGCAGATGATTGAGGAGTGGCGATATTGGAGCCCACGTCTTGTAAAATGCACTGTATCTGCAATTAATGGAATAATACTCTCAGAAAATCTTATACACAGTTGCATGTCTGCAATGAAAAAAAGATGATTGAATGCAATATGCTAATCAAACCTTGTCCAGCTGATATGTGAAGGTGTGACCTTTGTCAAGGCAAAATTCTCTAGCCAAGCTGTAATGTAAAATTAACATAACATGTTGACTCAGTGAGGCAGATTATAGAAAAAGTTAAATTTGACTGGTGAATAGTAGAAACTTTACCCTATAGCTGATGACAGCTCATCTGTATTTCCCAAGGCTTCAAAAATATGATCTTCCTTTGGCCTCCTTTCTCCTGTAAATGTGCTGGAGAAACCTTTTAGGGGGCAAAGAAAGAGTAAAAGAAGTAATGGATTCGTTTGAAAAAAAAAACGTATTATCAAAGTGGTGTAACATGTTTTGATTCTTAGTTAAAAAACAACCTTTGTCTCCAGTTTTGGTGTATATTTTGGGTCCCCTGTTGCCTTCTTCAGTGGCATAACTGTAGGGAGAAAAGAAAATATGTATATAAATACATTTGAAAAACACTTTATAGTGAAACATGTAACACGACAAAATGCATGTAGGCTACCCCTTTTGTTTCATAACAACGTATTTTGTTGTGTCCCCAGGTTTTTCAAGTCTCAGTTTCAAACAAGACTCCATGTAGATACACTTTGATAAATTGCCTTTCTTTGATAAGTATCTCTGTGTAGTAGCTGCCTAATGTTACTCAACACTCATAATTACAGTTACATAATACAACATGAGTAGATGAATACTTTGCAAAACTACTTTGACAAAGAATAGGAATGTACTACCTTCTGCTTGAACACAATGTGTTTCTTGTCTGAGGCTCGCGTAAGAACCTACATGTCCTTACAACACAACGGAGGTGAGCAGGTTTTATGATAAACGATGCCATGTTAATGCAAGAAGCTAACTGCTAAAGGTGAACGGTAGTGGGAAACGCGTTTTGTCCCTCTGTGGTGTCCGTAGTTTATGGGCGTTTCGTTTTCATCGTATGATTGGTCAACTCACCGTGTGGTTTGAACGCTGATTGGACAACATAATATATGTGCGGCAAGCTGCGGCGCTGATTGGATACTGGGAGCCGAACCCATGTTATTCCATCCTTCTCTGAATCGGCTGTGCTTTTAACATGGTTTATCCACGCTTCTATGAAGCAAAGCACAGCAAAGGACTTTGCTGCATTTAGACTAAAGACAGCTTACTTAAACCCTCTGTATTCGTTGAGACTTCAGAGTTGTCATCTGCGTGCTGTTGCTTCAGAGGATCAACATCAGCTAGGTGACTGAGCTAGCTAATAATAACACTGTCAGTGACAAGTTGGGCTTAAAGCTGCCCAGTTCTGGACGCATTTCTTCACTCTGCAAGCTGTTACAGAAATGACAGTCAAAGACGTATTCGTGTCTGCTCCAGGGAAGGCAATCCTCCACGGAGAGCATGCAGTGGTGCACGGAAAGGTAAAGTACTGCTGAAAGAGATCAAATTTAATGTATGAGATACATCTGGGTTAGTCAGAGCAATGATGCCCTTTACAGGACCAACACTTTCTGTATATGGGCAGTCTAATGCAATAACAGTTGAAGGATCTCAGTTTAAATTCAATGTTGCTATCTTCCAGAAGCTTTCACTTCTTTTATTTGTTTGTTCATTTTAAGTCTATTTTTTTTTATTTTTCCAATGATGTGCAATGCCTTGTTTTAACATGTTGCTGTGACCAACAATCTTCTTATCTTATGTTTATCTTATGTTATTAAATTGAATCTCTGCAATATGTAGACTATACTGTACAACAAATATCAACCCATCTTTGCACGAAAGATAACTACAATCATCCAATTAGCACCAATTTCCTGGAACATTACTTAAAATAATGTGCACTTAATTGTATAAATGTCATTAATTAACCCTGTATATCTCTGCTCTATTATAGGTGGCTCTTGCTGTGAGTTTGAACCTGAGGACATATTTACGGTTGAAAGGCACCACGACTGGCAACGTTTGCATCAACCTCCCAAATATCGACACTTTCCTCTGCTATGACCTTTCTGAACTGAAGCAGCTTATTCCTGCTTCCTGCGGTAAGGGACGGTGCAGCACTGGGGACCATTAACACCTACAAACGTTGTTGTGCAGGCACAGTTTGGTGTGATTTCAGTCTTTTCACAATGTCTAAAACTAGTCAAGTTTTTACTAATAAACAATGAACTCCAACACATATCATTATAAGAGTAGATGCCACAGCTTAAAATCAATATCAACTTACTATTGACCAGATGTGTATCATCCTTTCACATTACATTCTAGTGATTTTGATGATTGCTCTGTTTTGTACCTCATGTTAACAGGTAAGCGTGAGGAGGGGAAACCTCTGGATGCTGAACTTATGAGAAGACTGCGTGAATTTATCGGTGTCACCAATGGAAACTTGGACACTTGCAACATGGCCACCCTATCCTTCCTCTACATCTACATCTCACTGTTCGGATCAAGGTGAGATAGTTCTTCTCAGCATTTGTTCCTTTTGTTATTGCATCTGGTTGGCTAAGATGGCCACAAAGATCCAATTACCCATTTCACATATTCTGCACATTATAGAAAACCAATAGACTTTATATAAAAAATGGATTTAGTCACTCTGGAATACCAGGGTTCTGAAGCTTCGAGTTTGTCAGTCTAGCCGTTACCATCTTAGTTTTTTGTGACCATAAGTGACAATATTTTAACTAGAGGGTGGAGCTGAGTAAAACTGAACGCTAACCAACATTTTACTGCTAACTTTTATGAACTGTAAATGCAAATACAGAGATGAGAAATAATACAGACAACACCCAAACCAGATAATAGCAACATGTCAGTCACAAGGTAGCCTCACCCTAAAGCATACCTAGATATACTAGAATTAATTTTCAGTGCCTCTTAAAAACATCCTTCCACTTTTTGATAAAGAGAGACAGACAGACAGACAGACAGACAGACAGACAGACAGACAGACAGACAGACAGGCCGGATGTTAGTTTTAGCGTCTCAAGCAGCTGCTAGGACAGAAAATGCTGAGGAACATTAGAGCTGCAGGTTGTGGAGAGGTTTAATCTATGATGACACCGTGCTTCAGTGTCTCAGAGAGGGGATGCTTTCTGACAGGACGGCCACTAATGAGAGTCTGGCACTGGGCCAAACTGCAGCCTTTAACAAGCCGGGATCTTTTTTTCCTCGAGAGAAGAGCCGGACAATTAGTTGAGATTCTCCTATCTGCCCAAAAGCAGCTACCCTGAAAGTCATTGACAGCATTGTCAAGCAATACTCTGGTGAATACAGTATAGTAGAGTATGGATTCCATACAATTAAACACTACTTCTAGTTATGTTTACTGTGATATATGTTACAGTACTTTACTTAATCATAGTTACAGTATCTTACTCAGTGCTTGAATTGGAATAAAAAAGGTGCCAGTACTCTAAATCAGCAACAAGTATTTGGCACAAAGTCATAGTATATCCTATAATGCTGGTGGGTTTGTCTCTTTACTGTATATTTTAGAAAGGCTCACTGTACTTAAACAAAATGACTCAGGGTGCATCTGAGATTAGAGGGGGTGCAGTGGTAAAGTGCTATTTTTATAAGTGGGGAGTGGACCTGACACCCTCTAGTCTAGGGGGGTCCGGGGGCATGCTCCCCCGGGAACATTTTTTTTAAAATATTGAAGTTAGATGCATCTATCTGGTGCACTTTGAGAGCAAAATGAAGAGATATATGGATACCTCTCAACATCCATAA